TATATATATATATATATACATATACATACATGTTTTTATACGTTTTATTTATTCATGTTATCAAAGCTGAATTTTCAGCAGCAATACTTCAGTTTTTAGTTTCACATGATCCTTTAGAAATCATTCTAATATCCTGATTTTTTTTTATAGACAATTTAATACCTTTTTTTACACTGGAACTTTAAATTTTTTGATGAATATAAGGCTCAAAAGAACAGCATTTATTTGAAACAGTATTTATTTACTGTCACTTTTGCTGAACTCAATGCATCCTTGCTGAATATAATAATTATTTGCTTACAAAAAAGTTAAACTATTTAAAATAAAACACACTGACCCCAAGCTTTTGAACAGCAGTGTAAATTAAAAATATATATATATGAGCAATAAATATAGTGATGACTGCCTAATCAAACATTAATAAAATGACTAAATCTAAATATTTTAATCTAGCCCTGATTAACAATTGATATACCATATCCAAGCAGATTCCATCAGTTTACATTCGTTTTAACCAGTTTTGTATTAAAACACATTAAAAAAATTAATAAATATGATACCAGTGGATCACAATAACCCAAACTGATACACAGTGTTAGATTTTCACCGTTCCACTGAATATTTAAGTGATTTCCTGAGACTGTCCTCTCAGGTCAAGTCCCGAGATAACCCTTTTGTCCATATATACTTTTAAAACAATTAAATCTAGATGTTTTTGTTTTTTTAACCATGGTAAACCCCATTCAGAAAGCCTATTCTAATTTTTCAAAACGTACATTTCTGTAATTTTCAAAAACATCAAATCAGTTTAAACAAAAAGGAATGGTTTAAAATGTCTTTTAGTACGAGGGGTCAGCGGAGCCCACGGTGGAGGGCAGGGGTGTGAAGTGACAGTCAGCACATCTGGTCACATTAATAATGCAGAGAGCTTTAAACGGCAGTTTGTCACTTATTGAGTGCTGCCTGCTGAAATCTAAACTGACACCCAAGCTGCTGCCAAGGGACTCTACCAAATGAGAGTCGGATGGAGGGAGGGGGACAGAGAGGATGAGAGGGGCACCAGACAGCGAGAGTGGAGTAAAGAGGACAAACAGCAACGTGAAACTTTTGTCTGATGAACACACTTTCTGCTTTGTCTGTAAACGGTCCATTTCTGAACGAATCATACAATAGATTTAGAGGTTTGAATATCCAAAAGTTTATTTAGAAAAAAAGCAAATTTTTATACAACTTAAACAAAAACGGTTCAAATGGCATCTTTCCGTATCTTTTCTTTGACCAGACAATCTCTCATAATGATGCTAAACATTTCAAATCAAAATACAATTTTTGCAGCACAAGGCAAACTGTACTGTTCCTCGATTGCAAAACACTTAATTCGCTCAAACACTTTAACGCGGTCAATGAGTGTCCAGGAGATCGCCTGTACTTGAACAGACGTGTTACATGTCAGGTTTATTTCCCGGTGATGAGTGGGTTTCTCAGCACCACGATGACTGAATCGCCTCTCAGGAACATCTTTGAGATGTACCGATCCTTGTTCACTGGTTTGGACTTCTTCTTGCCCTTGCCACTCTTGGGCACCTCCGTCCACATTTCTTTGACATTCTCTAGAACCATGTTACAATGCCTGAAAATCCAGAGATGAGAGAATTTTTTTTTTTTACCACTTTTATCTAAATATGACGTGACCCCATACATTTTTCAGTAGCTGTTTCTCTACAGCTGACTTAAAAGCATGCGTGTCTTTTCATTCTGACTGCGATAAATCTGAATTTAAATCCTATCGGAGGTGACGGAAATCATCAATTATATGTTAAACAAAAAAGAATAATAATTGCAAGGTAAAGTACAATTACATTCAGATTAGAAAAATGCGTATTGTGTATGTGATATGACAGTACTGTGCTACAAACGTACACATGATATACTTACTTTCTTAGGGGTAAAAAGAAAAAAGGTTTGATATCATGATTCACCAGTAACAATCACACTCAAATTTACTTAAAATGTAGAAACTGAAACCACAAGAATGCAAAACTCATGCTCCCGTCATAATCATGTTAAGATGAAATTATTAGATATTAGACATAGATATTTCATCTTATACTTATATATACACACAGTAAAGGAGGTAAGAAAAACTGTTATAGTTCAAGCTCCAAGGGTTCCCTATATAACACTGCATCTATGCATATGTCCTCATTTGTAAGTCGCTTTGGATAAAAGCGTCTGCTAAATGACTAAATGTAAACGTACAGCTGGCTAAGGAGAGATCTGTAATCTGGCTCTGTATAAAAGGTGTTTACTGTGTTTTTTTGAGGATGGCACACTTGACATCGCTTGGGAATATTGCTGCGCATATTGTAGGCGAGAGAGCAAGTCACATGTTTACTAAAAGCGATGAAAAGCTGTAAATGAAAGGTATGGAAAGCCCTTAGATAGCAATGAATTGGGTATGTTTAATGCAGATTATTATTATTTCATGCTCATTTAGAACACTCAAATTCATTACCGTTACAACAAGGCTAAGTACAAATCCTTGTGCGTACTGTATTTGGGATGACATTTTCCTGTGCGTACGAATATGAAAATCCACACAATTATTATTAAATGAGACCTACTGTCTTGGCAAGCTTTTGTGCGTGCGTGTTATATGAACAATGCATAATGATCGACAGAAATCTGTGCATGTAACTAAAACTAGTTTATAGTTACAACGTGTATCGTAAGTCGAACACATCAGGTACCTGTCGAATGCTTTGACTCTGCCCAGCAGCTTCTTATTGTTGCGGCAGTTGATCAGAACCTGTGTGTTGTTCTTTACAGACTGGGTGAGCACTGAAAGTGGACCGGTGTTAAACTCTTCCTCCTCTCGCTTCTGGAGCTCCTCTGGGGTCATCTCAGATTTGGGCTTGTTTAACAAACTCCTAATAAAGAGAACAAGGAACTTGAAGAGGTACAAATGTCTGAATGCAGAGCTGAGATGGATATCCCAGCTTACAGTGCATGCATACAGTTATGAAGAATTCATACCTAAAACACCACAAATCTAAAAGCTTTCTTTTTATAGTGTAAGAAATCGCTATAAACATTAAACACACCAGCAAATGAACAGTATAACGATTCCGAAATAAAGAGCACAGAATGAGAAGCACAACCAATAACCAATAAATTGCACAAAGGAAAAACCGCTTACCAAACAAACATAAAGATTATATGTGTATTCACTTAGAGAGGAGAATCCTAATTAGCAGTGCAATCGAAGATTAGCATTAGCATTAGTCTTGCTAAATGACTTCTTCAGCGGTCATACAACGACAAAGCGACTATTTACGTCTCGGCAGTATCGCTCAAACACTTATAATGCTATACTGTGTCCAGAAGAGTTAACTTACATGTTTAAGTAGGTTTCGGCGTGTCAACGGTCTTCAGTGAAATAAAAGCAGCTGCACACAGGCGCCTCACGATTTCTCAACGACGTTAAAGTCACTTCCGGGTCTGTGCCGCCTTTCTCAGCAGTAAGTTCCGGTTCCGGTTTTCACCCGCAATGTAAATTTATAAACTTGTTTTTAGGGTTTATATAGAATTGTATTAGGTCAATTATAAGTAATGATTTCATTTAAAGTAAAATTAAGAATTTATGATATTCTGTGTTTTATAGCCTGCAGAAATCTAAAATAGAATTACGAAACAACAATAATAATAGTTCAATAGTGTCAGGTCATTTCATTTTTCTAACGTGAGTTTGGGAACGGTAAGATTTTTTATGTCTTTTAATGGAGTCTCTTTTGCTAATAAAGGCTGTATTTATTTGATCAAAAATACAGTAATATTGTGAAATATTATTGCAATTTCTAATATTGGTTTCCTATTTTAATAGATTTTAAAATTGTATTTATTTCTGCGACGCAGCGCTGAATTTTCAGCATCATTACTCCAGTCTTCAGTGTCACATGATCCTTCAGAAATCATTCTAATATGCTGATTTATAATCAGTGTTGCAACTGTTGTGCTGCTTAATATTTGACTTTTTTATTCTTTGGCGAATAAAAAGTTCAAAGAACAGCATTTGTTCAAAATAGAAATCGTTTCTTACAATCTTTACTATCACTTTTTATCCATTTAACACATCCTTGCTCAATAAAAGTATTAATTTCTGTAAAAAAAAAAAAAAATAATAATAATAATAAATAGAAAATGATCGACAGAAATCTGTGCATGTAACTAAAACTAGTTTATAGTTACAACGTGTATCGTAAGTCGAACACATCAGGTACCTGTCGAATGCTTTGACTCTGCCCAGCAGCTTCTTATTGTTGCGGCAGTTGATCAGAACCTGTGTGTTGTTCTTTACAGACTGGGTGAGCACTGAAAGTGGACCGGTGTTAAACTCTTCCTCCTCTCGCTTCTGGAGCTCCTCTGGGGTCATCTCAGATTTGGGCTTGTTTAACAAACTCCTAATAAAGAGAACAAGGAACTTGAAGAGGTACAAATGTCTGAATGCAGAGCTGAGATGGATATCCCAGCTTACAGTGCATGCATACAGTTATGAAGAATTCATACCTAAAACACCACAAATCTAAAAGCTTTCTTTTTATAGTGTAAGAAATCGCTATAAACATTAAACACACCAGCAAATGAACAGTATAACGATTCCGAAATAAAGAGCACAGAATGAGAAGCACAACCAATAACCAATAAATTGCACAAAGGAAAAACCGCTTACCAAACAAACATAAAGATTATATGTGTATTCACTTAGAGAGGAGAATCCTAATTAGCAGTGCAATCGAAGATTAGCATTAGCATTAGTCTTGCTAAATGACTTCTTCAGCGGTCATACAACGACAAAGCGACTATTTACGTCTCGGCAGTATCGCTCAAACACTTATAATGCTATACTGTGTCCAGAAGAGTTAACTTACATGTTTAAGTAGGTTTCGGCGTGTCAACGGTCTTCAGTGAAATAAAAGCAGCTGCACACAGGCGCCTCACGATTTCTCAACGACGTTAAAGTCACTTCCGGGTCTGTGCCGCCTTTCTCAGCAGTAAGTTCCGGTTCCGGTTTTCACCCGCAATGTAAATTTATAAACTTGTTTTTAGGGTTTATATAGAATTGTATTAGGTCAATTATAAGTAATGATTTCATTTAAAGTAAAATTAAGAATTTATGATATTCTGTGTTTTATAGCCTGCAGAAATCTAAAATAGAATTATTACGAAACAACAATAATAATAGTTCAATAGTGTCAGGTCATTTCATTTTTCTAACGTGAGTTTGGGAACGGTAAGATTTTTTATGTCTTTTAATGGAGTCTCTTTTGCTAATAAAGGCTGTATTTATTTGATCAAAAATACAGTAATATTGTGAAATATTATTGCAATTTCTAATATTGGTTTCCTATTTTAATAGATTTTAAAATTGTATTTATTTCTGCGACGCAGCGCTGAATTTTCAGCATCATTACTCCAGTCTTCAGTGTCACATGATCCTTCAGAAATCATTCTAATATGCTGATTTATAATCAGTGTTGCAACTGTTGTGCTGCTTAATATTTGACTTTTTTATTCTTTGGCGAATAAAAAGTTCAAAGAACAGCATTTATTCAAAATAGAAATCGTTTCTTACAATCTTTACTATCACTTTTTATCCATTTAACACATCCTTGCTCAATAAAAGTATTAATTTCTGTAAAAAAAAAAAAAAATAATAATAATAATAAATAGAAAAATAAAAGAAAGAAAAAAAATGACTGACCCCAAACTTTTGAATAGTGTATATTGTCACACGGAATACACTTTTTTTAAAAACTTTTTATTTATCAAAGAATCCTGAAAAAAACGTATCACATGTCCCAAAAAATATTGAGCGGCACAACTGTTTCCAACATTGATTATAAATCAGCATATTAGAATGATTTCTGAAGGATCATGTGACACTGAAGACTGGAGTAATGATGCTGAAAATTCAGTTTTTCTTCACAGGAATAAATTCTATTTTGAAGCATATTAAAACAGAAAACTGTTATTTTAAATTGCAACAATATTTCACAAAATTATTATTTATTCTGCATTTTTGCTCAAATAGATACAGCCTTGATGAGCATAAGAAACTTCTTTAAAAACATAAAAAATCTGACTGATCCCAAACTTTTGAACGGCAGTGTAAGTGTATTATTTATTGACAGGTTGCCATTACAAATTACTAGATATAATCTGTTTATATATATATATATGTACTGTATATACATTTTTTGATATATTATTTATATATATATATATTATTATTATTTTTTTTACTGTATCTATCAATACACATATTGAATAGTTCATCAAAATATGTATTGGTCATAAAGTGTGTGTGTGTGTGTGTGTGTGTGTGTGTGTGCTCTGAGACACTATATGCTTTAAATTCTTTGTTACTTTTACAATATTTTGCTGTCATGAAACGAAGCAGCCTGATCTAGTGTTCTGCCTCATTGAAGTATTCATGTATCGATAACAGAAGATTGTGTCTGGCCTCTTAGCCGTGGTGTGGGGTAATATTCATGGTGCAGGGTTCAGGTGTGTAGACCTAACAGACATCTCTTTGTTATGTGTGATGACTGACAGGGAAGACGGCTGTATGATGGGGTGAGTTTGTGAGACAGACAGAGATGTGTGTCTGTACAGAGCTCAAACTCCAGGGGATTGGCTTACTGCTTAGAGACAGGCGGGCGCCCGCGAGCCACTATCCCACCCATGTGATTTCACAGGGTGGTGAGTTTGCTCGGGATAATCGCACCCTATAGTGTGGAGATTTGAGGATCATGTCTGTGGAATTAGTTTGCAAAGCTTAACTACCGTTAGTCTTTCAAGTACATCGGCTTATGTTTTCCCCTCTCCAGATCACTTCCTTCCTCCCGGACTGGTTTCTCTCTCGAATACCACCAAGCATCTTTAGACTCTTACAAGCACTCTCTACAAACAGAAACCAGAGAGTGGAATCTAACCATGATCAAAGTTGTTCAAGGAGAGCGGCTGTGCTTAAAACCTCCTTCAGTCTGTGTGTGGGTTTATTTAGCTATATTTTGGGGACAGTATGTACCAAGAAGTTAGTTCAATTTGATAAGACCTCCATTTTGGGATGTCTAAGGACATCCTCAATTGGGGAAATTATACATAAACAAAACATACACTACTGGTCAAAACTATAGAAGTCTTTAACAGTAAAAACAGTCATTTTTGAAATATTGCTTTTTTTCTTTTGGAAAAAATTGAATTTATTCCTGTGATTCCTGTAATCTTCAGTGCCGCATGATCCTTCGGAAATCATTCTGATGTACTGATTTGGTACTCAGTTATTAGCAATTATTACTGGTGCTTAATTATTAATAATGTTAAAAACTGTGTTTGCTGCTTAATATTTCTTTTTGTGGGAACTGTGATACATTTTTCGAGATTCTTTGATTAATAGAAAGCTCAAAAGAGCAGCATTTATTTTAAAATAGAAATCTTTTGTAACATCTAAATGTTGCTTCTGTCAGAGTCATGTAATGCTGAATATTAATTTCTCTCTTTCAACATTGATAATAATAGGAAATGTTTCTTGAGCACCAAATCAACATATTGGAATGATTTCTGAAGGATCATGTTACACTGAACACTGAAGTAATGATGCTGAAAATTCAGCTTTGCATAACAGCAGGGGCGTGTCTACATGGTGGCCAAGGGTGGCACCCCGGACCCCCCTGAAATCTGGTTGGCCACCCCCCCACGCCACCCCACCAGACTGAATGGGTCTTTATACAGCAAAACATTTAAATCAAAATGCTTGAAAACCTTGAAGTAAGTTTGAAGACCTTAGTAAGCATGTGTGTGTGTGTGTGTGTGTGTGTGTGTGTGTGTGTGGTCTAACACATGTGTCAATGGACTCCTACCAGCTTCAGGGCATCATGTTGAGAAGCACATGCTCAAAAGATTTTGATTTATATCTCAGCTGTTTCTTTTGCAGGCTGTACATAGTGTGATGGAGGGGTGTAGAACTCGTTATTCATACCTGTCAAAAAGAGGATGATATTTATGACACAAATTAAAGGAAAATAGTATCAACTTACAGCTGCCTTTGGGCGTCTCTACACCTGTCTGTTTGTTTACCGCTCAAATTCTCTCTTCATTTCTGCCTCCCATTGCCCTGCAGACAAATTACATAATTACTCAGCAAATGTTACAGCTATCTTTTGCATCAGAGATCATAGTTTGCCAACAGTTTTCCAGTAAGGTTACAGTGAAGCTGTCCTGAGAGGCGTCTTTACACGTCTGCGTGTTCCTGCTCTTCTCCGGTAATATTGAGAGGTGAGCTGAAGTTCACCAGTGTTTAGTGTAATGTAATATGTAGGATTGTAGGCTGCACAGTAAGCCTAATGTTTGCTGTGTATTCTACAAGTGAGTGGCTGTAAATGCTGAACAACACGAAGACACCTAACATACGGAAAAGCACTGGACAGAATCATGCAGTTAATCTTTTTGCATTGTATATACACGTCACTCAAACTACTCGGCATTAAAAAACAAGATAGCATCAAAAATGAGACATATGTGGTCAGCATAACAAAACATTATTGTTTCCTTTAGCTACTTCCTTTTTTGTTTTTAAGGTCAACATGTTGACATCATTTGCTTAAAATACTTTGGGTAACTATAGTTTTGTTCCAGTGCAATGTATTTTTGATTTTTGAGTCTGAAAATTGCAAAAGAAAATTGTATTGGTTTTGGCCACAAATATTTGGCCTCACAGAAAATGAATGCATAAAAATATTGCACGTGAACTGCTTGTTAACAATACATTACAGGTCAAAAACAATTGAATAATTAAGATTGAATAAAAGTATCTTATGTTCATCAAGGCTGCATTTATATGACGCCGATGAACACATCATCACTGGACGGGTCCAGCATCCAGTAGTTGCCTTTTCCGGGGTCGTCGTAGTGGCGCGGGACCTTGACGAAGCACTTGTTAAGGCTCAGGTTGTGTCGGATGGAGTTCTGCCAGCCCTGCCTGTTTTCTCGGTAGTACGGGAAGTTGCCTATGATGAACTCATAGATGCCGTTGAGGGTGAGCCGTCGCTCCGGACTCTGGCGGATGGCCATCATGATAAGCGCGTTATAACTGAACGGAGGCTTATCGGGTTTACTCTTCTTCTCCTGTCCATCAGTTCCTTCACACTTTGGCTCTCCAGCTACCTCTTCTTTATCCGGTCTGGTCGCCAAGTCGTTCCGCTCTCGAATAGGTTTGTGTTTTCCGTCATTTGGCTGATTGGAGCGCGCAGGCGGCCTCGCGGCGCGGGGGCAAGGTGCTTCTGGCGCGGCGGTAGCGTCGGTTCTCGCTCGCTCGTGTCGGAGCAGTAAGCTGCTGATGCTGAATGAGGACTTGTGGGAAAACCCCACGGTGGCTTTTAGTTCCTCCATGTTTAACGATACAAACACGCTCCTAAAGGTGTCCAACAGAACTTAAAAGTTCAACCAAAGTGACCCCTAAAAACCCCTGGAAAGCGGCCGTTCATTCTTCAGAAACGCTCGATAAAAACAAAACAAAGACCGGATAAGTTTCCAGCACATGCAGGCAATCTCTCTGACTGATCAATGAACTCGAAGGCTCGAGTATAAGACTTCGGAAGCCGGTGAAACTCAAGCCTCTCACACCTGAGACCGCCCTTCTGTTTACACACTCATCTGACTGAACGCCTGTCAGAAACGAGTGAGGCAAAAAAAAAAGACGTTATGCTTAAGGAGTTCAGATATGCGACAACACTTGGAGATGTGAGTAAACAAACAGTTTAGGATGGACATGAACCCTAATCTCTGGAGGATGCCCTCGGCTCCATAAGGGAGCCTGTCGTGAACTTACAGTGCAAAAAATACAGTAGGCCTATCCTACACTCTTAAAAACAAAGGTGCTTAAAAGGTTCTTCAAGCGATGCCATAGAAGAACCATTTTTGGTTCCACAAAGAACCATTCAGTCAAAGGTTCTTTAAAGAACCATCTCTTTCTTATCTTTTTATAATCTGAAGAACCTTCTTTCGCCACAAAGAACCTTTTGTGAAACAGAAAGGTTCTTCAGATGTTAAAGGTTCTTTATGGAACCATTTAGACAAAAGGTTCTTCTATGGCATCGTGAAGCCCCTTTATTTTTAAGAGTGTATAGCCTGGCCCTATACTGAATGAGTAGGCTACGTGTAGTAGCCCTATGACTGGGGAGTGTTGAAACACATTTTGTTTTAACGTCCGTAACTCCTCTTGCTTCAGACTTTGATATAGGCCTAATTTGTTCGTCTGCTTCAACGTTGTTTTGAAGTCTACTTCTTAAACTGTAGCTAAATTAATGTCAAGTACAAAGAGTACTGTGGTTACAGTCTATCACAGAGTGTGTTGTAATTTTGCGCATAAAATTAGGCCTACTAGCCTATAGAATATAAATGTAGCTTTATGTTAAAATTAAATTAAACAAAATCAGTTTTGTTCTCTAATTCAGAATCCGTTATGTTTGGTATCAACGCATACATCATAGAAGAACCATTTTTGGTTCCACAAAGAACCATTCAGTCAAAGGTTCTTTAAAGAACCATCTCTTTCTTACCTTTTTATAATCTGAAGAACCTTCTTTCGCCACAAAGAACCTTTTGTGAAACAGAAAGGTTCTTCAGATGTTAAAGGTTCTTTATGGAACCATTTAGACAAAAGGTTCTTCTATGGCATCGTGAAGCCCCTTTATTTTTAAGAGTGTATAGCCTGGCCCTATACTGAATGAGTAGGCTACGTGTAGTAGCCCTATGACTGGGGAGTGTTGAAACACATTTTGTTTTAACGTCCGTAACTCCTCTTGCTTCAGACTTTGATATAGGCCTAATTTGTTCGTCTGCTTCAACGTTGTTTTGAAGTCTACTTCTTAAACTGTAGCTAAATTAATGTCAAGTACAAAGAGTACTGTGGTTACAGTCTATCACAGAGTGTGTTGTAATTTTGCGCATAAAATTAGGCCTACTAGCCTATAGAATATAAATGTAGCTTTATGTTAAAATTAAATTAAACAAAATCAGTTTTGTTCTCTAATTCAGAATCCGTTATGTTTGGTTTCAGTGCTTGCATCAATGACTAAACAGACTAACAGATAAAGTAAAATAATGATATTTCAACGCATACAAGTATAAATGAGGTGAAAGAGGAAATACAAGTGGGGAAACAGTAATAATAAATATGAGTTTAATGATAAAATCACAGACACAAAGATGAGCACTGATTGTACCTCATAGAAAGGCACTGATGCACAATATGTCACTGGGACAAAAAAATAGAAAGGTGTATTTGCAAACCTTTTAATTTTCTAGGATATTTGACACCCTCGGTTAATTGGCCATACCTGAGTACTAATTTATTGCACATTACTGTACAGTCCATTTGAACTATTTGAACCATTTTGGAGATTTCAAGTCTAGTCTTGAAAGAAATCATCTGTAAAATATCCCTCATCAAAAATAATAAAGACTGCTAATGGGATTTCTATTATAATTTCTATTCATCTTAAAGGGATCAAACAAGATGAATCCTCTGGATAAAAATAATTTTCTATTTTTCAGATTCTTTCCCTCCAGTAGGATCTTGTTTGATTGGACTCTTAATTATGTCCTTCAGAATTGGTTCCAAATTTTGATAAAAATCTATCCATTAGTATTACTTTAGGATATTTTGACAAGGGATTTTAACAAGGCACACAAGACTGTAAAATGTAACATTTTAGAGCAAAAATAAACCTATCATACATTTTCACATTCACACATTGCTACACACACAGCAGGGATTTAATGCAACTTATGCATAGAAAAGAGGTCACTGGTTTTGTAATTGGTCTCTTAGTTTTGGTAGTAAAGCATATACATTTTTCCCCGGGCACTCAGTTTTTGCCACGTCTCTGTGTCCCACAAGCACAAAATTGGGTTGCACATAACCGTGAAGCACTCCAATGTGCAGCAGTCTCAGCAGAGCAGACAGCGATGCAGAACTGGGCAATTCATCTACAGTCAAACAGAAATTTGCTTTATAATGTGTGAATTTTGGTTCATTTGTATTGTATAGTTTGCTTCATTTAGACAAGTCATTACTTCATAAATAAAGTGCAATTGAATTCTTATGCACAACTATTTCCATTTACAAATCCACAAAAAAATCACAACAGAACAATAGATACAGTAATATATAGTGTGAACACCACAAAGAACAATAATTAAAACATGAAATTTAATGTGATAATATAGAAATAGTCACGTTCTCACCGTTGAAGTTGCCCATGAATGCGATGCCAACAGAATTGAAGTTGTGTTCCTTTGCGTGGGCCCCTACAACCCCCCATCCTCGCCCTTCATACACCATCCCGTCTCCAGAGATCAGAAAGCTGTAGACAGACAGACAGAGCAGATGTGTAAGGAACAGTGTTGGGGGTAACTCATTACAAGTAACGCGAGTTACGTAATCAGATTACTTTTTTCAAGTAACTAGTAAAGTAACACATTACTTTTTTAACTTACAAGAAAATATCTGAGTTTTCCCATTTATTGACTAACAAGTCTCCTGTCCCCATATTGGGAGAAATCGGAAGCACAGAGGCGTTGTGTGCGCTGTGTGAACATGATGTTACTGTAGTTCTAGACTAAATGTGAATGTGCATTAATTCATCCCACTCACAAAAAACAGATTTAGTATTCATCAAAATTAATTAAAACAGAATATGACGCAAACCTGCAATAATTAAATATGTTAAATAACACAAATGTATTTAATCCCGTTTTATTAACCAATGTCTTTGCTGCTGACCTTTGAAGATCCAGTTCAACCATACTAATAAGCAAAAATGACTTTAGATAAACTAACATTTGTGCTTTGTTTTTTTTTTGCTGAAGAGTGTTTCTTCTCCTGCGTTCTACTGTACAGACGTGAATTTACTTTTGCTTCAGCCTGAGGTTTATTCATTACACTTTTTGGTGTTAAGGGCTTTTACATTTGCTATAAATAGAACTTCTTATATAAAAAATAATCAAGCCCTGCTTATATTTAAAAAGTAATGCGAAAGTAACCCAAAAGTAATATAACGCATTACTTTCCATAAAAAGTAACTAAGTAACGTGCCTCGTTACTTTTTTAAGGAGTAACGCAATATTGTAATGCATTACTTTTAAAAGTAACTTTCCCCAACACTG